GCTTTGATGGTTTGAGGCCATCCCTAAAAATAACAAAGGTTAGACCACTAAACAAAGATCCCACGATCAAACCCAACAAACTACACATAGAGCCTACTGTATACTCACTTATTCTTGCTCCTGAGAAACTATAGTTTTCCTATAATCCATCACTTCAGTAATCCTTTATTGCTTTCGTTTAATTCTTAGTACATCATTTGTTTCATCTTTTGAATTTAGCTTATTTGTTGTTTTGCATTCTGTTGGTCTTTTTTATGTTTCAGTCCATTTTGCTTTGAATTGAAAAATTATTTAAAGTCCTTGAACCATAAGGCATAGAAAAGGACTCATAGGTAGCCTTATGCCTTGCTACAATCGCTTGAATAGTTAGAATTTTAGAACCTTATTCTGGTTTGAATAGGTAAGGTCATATGTGTTTAGATTTTAAGTCCACTCAAACTTTAGCACACCCACAATCTGAAAATATGCCAAACAAAGAGTAATGCACAAAAATTACATATAAAACAAGTGCTTCAAAACTTAATATATCGAAGTGTTAATCTTCAAGATCACACAATTTTATTTATTTTTTTGGTTCTTCTATTCTTGCTTCCTGATTCAAACTTTTGGAGGCCTTATAAAAGGTCTCTCATTGAAAGCAATAATACATAGAATTTAATTAGGGTAGTTGATTGGTGAGGGGAAGCCATTACATCGGTGATGTGTGTTTATCCACCCCATGTGATGTGTTTTCGACACTCCCCTAGGATGACCATTATATTAAGATAGTATTGGATGCACAAATACTACCTCATTAAAACATTGCCCAGTAAATTTTAGTGGAATAAAATCTAAATGAAGTAAAAGTACAAAGTGCAAAATTGTCTTATATCTTGATGTGGATACCCCCCCTCCCAACTAAGATTTGTTCCTTTATAAGAAGATCAATTGAGTTGATCACAAACACAATGCATTCTAATACCGTATACCAACTATTTGAACGTTGATGATGGTAAAACTTTAATGAATATATATACAAGATTATCAGTTAATCATATTTGTTTTACTTCAATTTCGTAATTATGCTGGAGTTCATGAGTGTAGAATTGGTGATATCTGCTTAGTTCTGTCATCTTCAATAAATCCTCCTTTTTTTTTGTGCGATACAAACAATATCATCTTCATACAACATTTTTGGCGAATCTATAATTGAAGGGAGTCTACGTGTACTTCAGATATGATGAATTGTAGATCTTAGTCATATATATTCACAACTAGCTTTATAAAGTGCTAGTACTTTATAATAACTAAAGGATGTAGCAATCAAAATTTGTTTTATAGATTGCCATGAGATTTTTGTATTACCACATGTGAATACATACTTGGTTTGTAAACGAGCCTTCGAAGAAATATCCAGAACTGGATAACTTACTAAATTTGGACTTTGACTAGTTGCTTTGAATATAACAAGCCAAAATATGTCGTTCCACGGAGATAATGTAAGTTGTGTTTTCTACCATTCTAATATTGTCAAGTTGGCAGAGAACTATATCTTGCCAATAAATTAATTGCAAATGTTATATTAGACCTAATAAGTATAACAAAGCTCATATTGCATGTAGTTATGGTACTTCTGGACCAAAAAATATTTCATCTTCTTCTTTAGGAAGATAAGGATCTTTCTTGATATCAAGTGATCGAACGACCATTAGAGTACTTAACAGATGTCTTATCCGTATTAAATCAAGACATGACCTTTTTGATATAGGTTGTTTGATGGATAAGAATTCTATTGGATGTATGCTCATTCTACTAGCCGAGATAATATTTTGTTTTCCCAGGATCTTTCATCTCACATGCTCTTTTCAAATATTCAACAACTTTCAGTAACTCTTTAGGAGTTTCAATCAGATTCACATCATCAACATATATTGCAATAATTGCAATCCATAATATGATGTTTTTATACACACACACGGGCATATGAGATGATTAACATACCATTCTTTTACCTAGTACTCATTGAGACGATGATACCACATTCTGCTAAATTGTTTTAATACATACAAGGACCATCTTAATTTAATTGAGTACATATTTTGTGTTTTGATGTATTTGCTTCAGATAATTTCTGTCCTTCAGGAACTTTCATATAAATACCAGTATCTAGGATTTTCATACAAATGTGCAGTAACTACGTCCATAAGACACATGCTGAGTCTTTCTAAGACTGCTAGACTAATCAAATACTGAAATGTAGTTACATGCATTACCAATATGTTTTCTCAAAATCAATCTCGCATCTCTGTAGGAACTCTTGTATCATAGTGCATTCTTTATATCTTGTGATCTCATTTTTTTCATTTCATTTTCTAGTGAATACCCATTTATAACCTATTGGTTTTATACTATTAGGTGTTAGTACTACAAGTCCAAATGTTTCACGCTTTTCTAAATAATTCAATTTTGCTTGGATTGTTTGGTTCAAGAACATCATCATTTAATATTTTAGTAGCCAGTGGAAAAAAAAAAAGAATACATCAAAAATAACTATTTTTTTGTGGTCCGACAATTCTCTTTTTCATGCGTAGTTAATAAAAAAGTTCTTTATTTTGCACTACATCTCTTCAGGAGTAAATGTTTCCTTAGGGGATTTTTTCCTCTTTAGGAAATTTATCTTCTTTAGAAGATTTTATTTGAGATAATGTGGGTGCATCTTGGTTTTCTAACTCAACAATTTCTTTAAGAGTCCTATATAATTGGCCTTTTGTTCTCCTTTTCAAGAGAACTGAATCTTTTGGACTTATGGTTCATCCATGCTTTAGGCATGCATCTGACAATTCATTTGTTGCCATAGGTTTTCCAATTGGAATATCAACTTTATTGGAGTATCCATGGCTAGTATTTATGATTTCGTCACTTTTGCTTCATCAATAAATGCATCATGCAATTGATTAACAATTTTTTGTAGATGTATGATTTTTTATACCTCAGTTTCACATTGAGAAGTGTGTGGATCAAAATGAGGCATAGATTTTAAATTTCAAGAAAGTTCATACTAATTTTCTGGCGGTGAATTTCTTCCCCCTAATGATGAGAATTGTGTCTCATTAAAATGATCATCCGCAAATCTTGTGACAAAAATATCACATGTCAAAGGTTCAAGATGTCTAATAATTGTAGGTGAATATATATTCTAAATTGATGTTGAGGACCTATTTTAGTACGTTGTGGGAATGCAATTGGGACATGTACAATGCAACCAAAAGTTACTAAATGAGAAATATTTAGGGGTTGACCAAACACGAGTTGTAGAAATGAATAGTAATGGTAAGGACTTGGTCGGATGCGAACTAAGTCGACCACGTTTAAATTGACATGTCCCCAATTAGAAATGAGTAACTTTGTCCTAGTAAAGGTCAAGCAATAAATTGAAGGTTTTTTGATAAAAGACTCAGGTAGACCAGTTTATCAATTGATAGGTATGAAGGGATAAGAAAAATATTTCAGTTGTTTAAGTGTTTCAAGGTCTTCAAGATCATGCAAAAACATGAAGTTGTAAACTTTTTTTCGGCACCTCTGCAGTTCCATGCGATTATAGGCACATCATGGCTTTGCTTCAAAATTCAAAGAAGGGAAATATCATTCATGTTGGATGAAACCATATCAAACAATTGGGTTGCTAGCCCTTTGTTATGTGCGTGTGTGAGAGAGGGGGTGAGGTAAACATGTGAGAGATAAAGATGATTAGAAGAGAAAGACATGATAGAGAGACATGGAGTCATGAAAGAGTGACTCCTATTTATTTGATAAATAGGAGCTCCTAATTATCTGAAAAATACAACATTTTTGATCATTTATTCGCATGGACCTACAGACAACTAATTCTCTAGTCAGTCCTTTCTTCGGCCACCTCTTTCATCGAAGGAAGAAGAAATAAAAAAAAAACTTCCAGGCGAACAGAGACTAAAGACTCAATCGTATGGATATATAAAATATAAAATTTCCAATCATAGTAGGAAAGGGAGGATCAATATGAGAAAGATGCGCTCAAGCATGCAAAGATAGTTAGTCGTACTCAACAAGCATCCAACACAAGAAAGGTGCTTGTTTTCGTTTATTGAAAATTCTGATGGAAAAATCGTCATCTCTTGAAAGTTGCTAGAGGATTGTTGTTGATTAGTGATCCCAAATCGAGTCTAATGCCTAGAGACTTTATTTAACTTAGGTTGATTTAGGCCAGAGGTAGACCTATGTCAAGATAACCCTTTTTTGAAACACTTTGGTATAAACAACTAGAAACTACAATAATAGAATAACATTAAAAAAGAAGTCATTTCACTAAGAAGTGTCTAAAGACAAGTTTTATATGATCAAACTAGATTTTTCGGAACGATTTCAACCCCCTCCCCTTCTCCTATGTTGTGAAAGTAAATTAAGGAAGATCTATAATTTGAGAGACAACAAAAAAACCTTCAATTGAATTTCAATATGACATGAATAAATTAAATATTAAAAAGTTAAACATTATTAATTAATTACTGATGGAGGGAGAGGACACTAAATCCCTCCCCTTCCTTAACATTATAAAAAACAATTATCTAAAAAAATCAAAATATATACAATTACGAAAAAATTGTTTACATAACCAGAATTTTCTACTTTTTTTTTAGGGGAAGATTAAACTTGGTGATAATTTTCGTGTGATCCTTGCTCCAAAAGGCTAAAAAAAAAATTGAAAATCTCTCTCGGTGACACATGGCATAATATCCACATTGTTTTCTCACCTTAACCCATTTTATAAATTATATATGAAAAAGATTATTTAGAACTAATTTAGGGACCTAAAAATTTAATTTAATATAATCATTGAATTGATTATAAGTTTAATTTAATATTAAAATTCACAATTAATTCAATGGTATATTAAAACCACGGGTTGCTAAATTAGGTCATTGCTCATTATATATACAGCTAACGGCTTACAGAAAGCAGCAAACATACTCGGATTAACCATCAAAATGGACGACAGAGGAGGAGGAGCCGAGTCGAACTTGGTTCTCAGTTCCGACTGGGCCGAGTTGACTCATGAGTGCCTACTCAATATCCTCTCACGCCTCAGTGTCGAAGATCGATGGCGGAGAGTCATGTTGGTCTGCAAATCGTGGCTACACGCCATCAGAGATCCGAGTCTTTACTCGGTCTTCGACCTCGACACCCACTTCGACTCGGTCCTTGAGTCACCCGCCTGGTGGACCCCCGAGTTTGAGCGAAAAGTCGACGCTATGCTCCGATCCGTCGTCGTCTGGAGTGATGGGTCTCTGAAGGAAATTCGCGTCAGACATTGTTCAGATCGGTCTGTGTCTGTGGTTGCGGAAAGGTAAATATAATTTTCAGAACTAGGGTTTGATTTTAATCATATGAGGATTTTTGGATCTCTTGAATGTTAGTGTTTTTGCTGAATTTAATTGGGCTAGGGCAGTTTTTGGCAGGGATCAAAAAATATCGTTTCGAATTAATCAAAATTTTCGTTTTTAAGTTGACCAAAACGAATCAGTAATAAAATTAAAATTTTAATACTTCGAAGTGTGTCATAATATTTTAAAAAATTTTGTTATATTTTGACGTATTTACACAATTATTTGGAAATGTTTCAAATGTTTTAAGTTATTTTGGTATATTTCAATGGCTGTTTTGAAAATATAATTCTTAAATTTTTTATTTTTTTCTATTTTATTTCTGAAACAGGCGAAATACGTGGAAACTTTTATGTTTTTTTAAGTTACCGAAACAATGCGAAGCCAAATTTTGATCCTTGGTTTTTGGATAACTGAAAATGGGGTGTTATCTGATTTCATTTATCATGTTGGAATTTCTTTGAATAACCGTTGAATGGTTCAGTTAGGTTCTGATGGTAATACTGTTGGGTTTTAATATTTCTGGTTAAATTTTAATAAGACCAGGAAGAAGAATAAAAGGTTTAATCAAATTCCCTCTTCCAGGGGAAACACTCTATTGATACAATTCAAGAGAAAGTAAAATTCTGTGATGCCTTTCTTCCCACAGAGAGACCAATAAATCCTGTCTGCTGAGCATTATCAGCTCCTAACTACGAGCAATCCACTCTTAATTTCTGGCACTACTTTACTCATCTGATTTCTTCCTGCAATCACACAATCACTGTTATTGCCTCCTGCAGTTCTGCTATCCTCACCGCTGAATGATCCTTGCTACTGATGAGCCAATCAGCTGTATAGAATGCTTGATATTCTCATCTGATGCAGAACAACTCTACCCGTCTCAAGCCAAGATAAAAGAGGAGGGTTGTGTTAAGTAGCCGAGAGCCAGCTTAAAATTTTGTCGGATCCACTATGATGAGTCCAAAGCGAAGACGGACTCATGTAATCAATTCCCAAATGATTGGGACATAAGACTTAGTTTGGTTAACATTGTTTAAGGTTGCGGTATCGACCATTAACTTTGAGAGTTCTGAGACATATCGGTCACGGTGTCACGGCGCAGTATTGAGCAATACAACCAAAAAGAAAATGTTGAACATGACGAAGAATTCAGGTCATATCGCGGAGTCGTTAAACCGTATTGGTCAATTTAGTGACGATATTTTGGCGATTAGAGATTGATTCGGATATATCTCGAACAACTCGGTCGAGTTGTGTGAGACTTGGGATTTATATGTATCGTGTAACGGTATCATATCCGAAGGTGTCGAGACGGATATAACTCGGTTGAATTGTATTGATATCATCCGATACTTTGAACCATGTTAGTTAGTTTATGCATAACAATCCATCCCTCCCGAAGCAGGCCTTGTCCTAAGGCCAAAATGCAAGAAAACACCGTTCGATGTCATGCTCATATTCCCATGTAGCATCTTTTGGGAAGCTTTTGTTCCGGTGAATCAATACTTGTGTGACTGCCCTATTATTCTACTTTATCAACCATTGGTCCAGAATCGCCAATGGTTCAAGTTTCATTCTACCATCATCATCTAACTGGGTAGCACTGTCTGGACAGTCACCTGTTTTGCGACTTTCTTCTTAAGACATGAAACATGAAACACAGTGGATGGAGAATGTAGCTGGAGGCTATAGTGACTAGGCGACTTGACCTATTGGTTCTAACATAGGAAAGGGCCAAAGAACTTAGTGGCAAGCTTCTTGTTTGCTCTCCATGCTAGGGATGTTTGCCGAAAGGGTTGTAGATGGAGAAAAACAAGGTCCCCAACATTGAATGCCCGTTCAATTTGTTTTGCATCTGCAACTTGCTTCATTCTATGTTGGGACCTTTGCAAATTTTCCTTGACTAGTCGAATGACTTAGTCTCGCTCTTGCAGGGCAATGGTCCACCGTTTCTACATTAAATTCATGCATCACATATGGAGAGTAAGCTGGGGCTGGGATACCTGATACCATATATAGTTTCAAAGGGTGTAATTGTGGTGGAAGTATAGAAATTTGTATTGAACCACCATTCCGCTATAGGTAACTACTAAGTCTTTTCTTTGGGAGGGTACCCCATCTTGCAACAAAAAATATTGCTCTAAACAATGATTCACAAGCTCAGTTTGGCCATCGGTTTTCAGGCGATATGCAGTGCCATATATTTTGAATAAACCTCGATGATATGTAATTGGGTGTCATATATTTTTAATAAACCATTCCAAAAGCTGCTGGTGAATATAGGATCACGGTCGTTGACTATGGTGCTTGGGGAGCCCATCTAACTTGATTATATTGTCCATGAAGCCTTGAGCAACCTCTAAGGCAGTATATGGATGATGTAGTGAAATGAGAGTACTTGCTGAGCCAATTGATCACTATGAAAATCACATCCTTCCAATGTGATTGAGGAAGGCCATTGATAAAATCTATTGATATATCATCCCAAGGGTGATCTAGAATAGGAAATGGCTGTAATAGCCCAAGAGTGGCTACATTTTCTGTCTTGTTAAGTTGACACACGTCACACTCGGCCACGTGTTTAGGGAGTGTGTAATTGGGTGCATGTAACGTGAATATATTGTCCATGAAGCCTTGAGCAACCTCTAAGGTAGTATATAGATGATGGAGTGAAACGAAATGAGAGTACTTGCTGAGCCAATTGATCACTATGAAAATCAAATCCTTCCAATGTGACTGAGGAAGGCCCTTGATAAAATCTATTGATATATCATCCTAAGGGTGATCTAGAATAGGAAATGGTTGTAGTAGCCCAAGAGTGGCTACATTTTCTGTCTTGTTAAGTTGGCAGGCGTCACACTCGGCCATGTGTTTGCGTACAGTAATGCGGAGGCCTTGCCAATAATAGTGCCTTTTGATCCGGTGCATAGTTTTTTGGACACTAGGATGTCTCCCACAAGACCCATCATGAGTTTCTTGAATAATAGATGGTATTAAGGTTAAATTCAGCCCAAGCCAAAGTTGTCCTTTCTGTAGTTCCTTGCATGTTAAAACTGGAAATTGGGTCATGATGGCTTGCAAATCCTGAATGATATTCTGCATTTTTAGATCAACCTTCCACTCATCTTGTAGTTTAACAAGCCAATGAGCTGCTTGTGCTGGGATAGGTATTACAGGTATGTTTGAATCGAGGATTGAAGGGAGATAACTCTTGTAGGATAGGATAAAAAAAGTATGTGGGGCCCATATATCCTACGTTTGATAAATAAAAAATGCATCAGAAATCTCATTCGGATTTTATCTCAACTCAGTTTGAAAAATCAACTTTAACCCATCTATATGGATTAAATGAAACCCAAGGGGGACTGAGATTTTTTTTTGTCAGACAAAGTAACTAATTCAAATAACCGAATTGCTCTCTTCTCATTCTCTCTCTCTCTCTCATCTGGTTCATCTCTTCCTCTTGTTTTTTCACATATCGAATTTTTTGTTCAACAAATTTGTTTTGTCAAAGTAAGACTCCATCAACATACTTCAAGAAGACCAAGACGTCTTCTCCAACAAGATAACTAATTTAAATAATAGACTAACTCTAATAAAGCAATATTTTATTTGGACTAAAATTAATTAACAGCCAATAATAAAATAACTAATTAATGAGAGCTTGAGTTAATTCTCAATAGTCTTTGTAACATATGAACATCCATCTAAAGGATATGAAATTGCAAAAATTTTAAAATTACATGTATGAAAATTTGTTTGGAATTGGTTAAAGGCTAATTTATAAATCAAATATAGTGTCGGATTGGATAGGTTAAGGGCAAAATAGTCAATGCTTATGTAATATTCAAACACTGAAAAAGATAGGATATAGCCATTAAATCTTAACCAATCCGATTATAGGTGAGTTTGGGTTGAATAGAAAAGAATATATATGTTTTTAGATCTTCAATCCAATTCAAGCTTGTCATCCAAACACACCCTACATAGACAACATCTTCATATTGTGTAGAAAGTGCATCTTTTGCGTTATTTTCACACCCATACGATATTTCAAAGTCATACCTAGTATAGTTAATCACTGGTGTTGCATTGGTGTGGTTGTGCGCTCCTTAATAAGGTACTAAAAGCTGAAATGATTTGTCTTTATTTAAAGTGTTGACCAATGAGATACGACACCCATTTTCCTACTACGAAGACCACAACTAGCATCTCCTTTTTATATGTAGAAAGACCCAATTTTTGGTTTGATAAAGCCTTTCTTGCAAACGCTATTGGCCTACCGTCCAACATTAGTATTGCTCTTAAGCCAATTCCTGAGGCATCACATTCAACAAAAAAAAGACTTGGAAAAATTCGGCATTGCAAATATTGGAGTTGTTGATGTGGCTACCTTAAGTCTTTGAAATGCTTCATTCTCTTCATTAGACCATAAGAATTTGTCTTTCTTTAACTTTTTTAACAAGTTAGTGAGTGACTTGCTAACCTTGTCGTAGTCCTTAACAAAACATCAATAATTGCCGGTGAGTCCTAAGAACCCATGGAGAGCTTTAAGGGTCCTTGGTTGAGGGCAAGTCACCATGCTAGTAGTTTTATTGGGATCAGCTACTACTCCATTGTTGGAAATAATGTGGCCAAGGTATTCTAGCTCCTTTTGACCAAACAAGCACTTGGACCTTCTAGCGTAAAGCTGGTTTTAGAGTAAATATCCCCAAGATAACTTCTAAATGATGAAGATGGTCCTCCAAACTTCAACTGTATACCAAGATATCATAAAAAAAAAAAAACAAAAGGATGAATTTACGTAAATGTGATCGGAATACCTCATTCATCACACTTTGAAATGTTGGTTAACCTAGAGGGCATAACTAAAAATTCATAATGTCTTTCATGAGTTCTAAATACCATCTTGTGTACTTTGTGGGGGTGAAATCAGATTTGATGATAACACGAACATAATTCCAATTTTGAGAAACAATGTGCTCCAAGAAGTTCATGTAAGAGTTCATCAATGACGGACACAAGGAATTTGTCCTTGATGATTTCCTGATTTAGAGCCCAGTAATCGACACACATCCTCCACGTGGCATCTTTTTTTTCACCAGCTAAACTGAAAAGGAAAATGAGCTCACACTAGGCCTTATGGTGCCAACTTTAAACAATTCTTTTACAATCTCGTTCTTTTGAACATAAGGGTAAGGATAAGGTCTCACATGAACTGTGGAACAACCTAGTTTGAGTGGGATCCTATGATTTTGTGGCCTGTGTGGCGGTAGGCCATGTGGATCTGAAAAAACCATTTCAAATTGAGCCAATAACTCCATTAATCCAGGTTTAGATTCTGTCATATCATCAAGAGAATTTAGCTAGGGAAAGGCTTGGATTGAGAATATGTGGGCCACAGCTCCTTGGGTGGACTGCTACAATAATCGGTCCATCTTGTTTGCACCAATCAACTTTATTGGTCTTGCAGTTGCAACCCTTAGAAAATGTGTTTTTCCATTAAAATTAAACTTCATCTTCAAGTTTTGGAAGTCTCAAATGATCGGTCTGAGATTGGCAAGCCATTGAACAACTTAGACCATGTTACCATAGTCCAAGGTCGTGGTATTGGCCCTTGACACTGGGACCACTAAGACACATTGGTTGCAGCGCGGTTTGGGAGATATGCTCAAAATGCTATATAGAATGCTTAAAAAAAGTTGAGAAAATCAGGAAGAAATATAATAAATGTAAACACCATCATCTATGCTTTATATCTCCGAAATACATTACACATTAATCATTGCATAAAGGAATAATAA